CGAGATGTTGGCAGATTTTTAAGTAACTATTAGACTTTTTTTTATAATTAAAGAATACCAATATGTAATTTTGCTTTTAATTAGAGCGTCAGAAAAAAAATATACAAAAGGGACACCGGTGTCCGGTCAAAGGGCCTTTCCATACTTTTTAAACACCCTGTATGTTTTCTGCTCTTGTCGTTCAATGAAATTAACTTATAGGGATTTTAACCACAACTATAGATCAATAACTTAAATGTAAGTTTATAAGACAGTTATAATGACTAGATGATATATTTGAGTCCACCTAATCTTTACACTATACCTTCTGCTTATTTTAACTGTTATTTCATTATCATTTATTTACTTCACTCAACAAAATAATGCTTCAGATTTAAATAAAAAAATCTGTTCAAAAAAATAAAGACTTGTAACTCAATTGTTTCATTATTAGAATTTATTTTAATAATAAGAATTTATAATGTAGGGAAACTTCATATTCCGTCTCTACCATAATACAGGGTTCACACATGTAAATTAACAGATTTTAAATAATTAAATTTTCGAAACTATTACGTAGATTAAAATAAATTATAAAAGAAATTAAAGAAAAATGTACTGTATTTTCCTCTCAGTTACAAAAGCTAGACGCGTGATCCCTTTGATGCAAGACAAACATCTAATTTGTAATCAAGTTCGCTTTGCTTATTCTGTCATTTGAAACTTTCAATAATTGCAACTGCGTTCTTGTGGTATTCTCGGCATCCTAGTCTCATCGTAACAATCACATAACCCCAAAAACACATGCAAGGAAATCGGGGTAAAGCATGAGGATCTTGGTGGCTATTAATCTGTTGAGCACACATAAAAGCATTTGTGCAATATTTAAAACTATTGACAGTAAGAAACATGTTCAGTTCTCAAGGCCCTCATTCGAAATATTGTTACTCTATCATAACTATCATGTAACCCCAAAAACACACAAAAAGAAGTTAAATGGCGTAAAGCCCGGGGATCTTGGCGGCCATTTCATTAATTTTTCCTCCGTATGCGAAAGACGATGTTTATGAACCATCGATGCCAAAAACACTGTAACAACTTAAAGAACTCATTTGTACGGCATTTGAAAATGTGAAACAGTTTAGTTCTGAGGTTTTCATTGATATAATATCAGTAAAAGTACTGTTACCCCATCGTAACTATCACGTAACCCCAAAAACACACGAAAAGAAATTACATTACGTAAGGCCCGGGGATTTCGGTGGCCATTTTATTAATCTATCATTCGCACTTGCAAGACGGCATTTATGGACCATCAATGCCTAAAGCACAACAATATTTCAAACGAACACATTTGTGCAGCATTTGAAACCATAGTCAGTGTGAACATTAAAATCTATGGAATTCACTTGATTTTGAACTATATGTTTGTCGTGTTACTAAAAAGTGATATATCGAAGTTGAAAAAGGAGAAGAAAAACTAAAATGGCAGTTTTCTTTAATTTCCCGAGCATTACTCACTTCGAAAATATATAAATTTATATTCCTGTCATGGATTTATGCCAAGCCAGTATATTAAAACAAATACCTATCGTTTTAAAATTCTATTATCGCGAATTTTTAGAAACGAAAATGGTAGCTAGCTCTAGAAAACGTTCTCTAAGTTTCTATCTACTTATTTCCTCCTCAAAAAGTTGCATTCCCTCTCTTTTAGGCTGGAAGTAGGTTAAATATTTTGAAAAATTTTAAATTACTACAAATAAAAATACGGAGTGGTCAAAATAAACCATCTGTGATGCAATTAATGTTAAAGCTTTACATAAATGTACGCAATTTCATAAAAGTTGACTTTGTATGTAAAGAAATATATAAAAGATTTAGTAGCAGAACTTTTCTTTTAAACGTCAGAATTGTAAGGTGACACGTGAAGAATGATGTTTTACAAAAGCGTTAAGGCTGAATAGAAATCATACATTTATTTTCTTTCCATGTTTCTGAGAAATTTCCTGTTAATTGAGAATGTTTGAAACACGTTGCCATGGACACGCTCGTCGTCAATTTAGATTGTCTGTTCATCATTTGAATTAGATTACTGCAGCAGATTGCTTAGAGATTCAAACCTAAATTAGAGTGACTGACCTGAAGTAAATAGGGCTTCCAATGGAGCGTTAGAAATTTACCGCACATTAATACTTAAGTTAAATGCTCTTAATTGAATGAGGGTATACAAAACCTTAGATTTCGTTTGCGCATATTACACTGCTGGTAAGGGGAAAAAATATCTGCATTACTATAGTTACATTAACCTTGCTAAAAAAAAATTTGCCAATTCTGTATATTTGAAGAAAAAAAATTATGTATTATTCGAAAAGAATCTATCATTTTTTAAAAGAAAAATGAACTAAACGTCAAAGAATTCTTAATTACATATAATTAAAACATATGTTTTAATTGTTTTTAAGTTTTTCTGTGAAATTTGGTTCAAAAGGTATATTTTATGCGCATAACTGGCACACAAAAATTTAAATAGTACTTCTAATGGAGCGTTCGAAAATTTACCGTACATCAATAATTAAGTTAAATGCTCTTAATTGAATGAGGGTATACAAAACCTTTGATTTTGTTTGCCCCTATTATAGTGCTGATAAAGGAAAAATTTTATTGTTCTTAAGTTAAATGCTCTTAATTGAATGAGGGTATACAAAACCTCTGATTTTGTTTGCGCATATTTTACTGCTGACAAAGGGCGGGGATAAATATCTGTACCATTAAAGTTATATCAGTGTTGTTAAAAAAATTTCTTTACAATTCTGTATATTTTTTTCAAAAAAATATTTTTTTTAATATTCGAAAGGAATCAATAATTTTTTTAAGAAATATTAGCTAAGCGTAAGAGATTTCTTAATTGAATATAGTTAAAACATGTTTTTAATTATTTTAACGATTTTCTGGGAAATTTGGTACATAAGTTATCTTTTATGCGTATATCTGGCTCACAAAAATTTAGATTTCAAGTAACAAAAAAGTTTGTTTGTTCATTATATGAGGAATTAGCTTGTTTTTAACTATTTAATTATGTTCCAAAACTACTATAATTAACCGTATTAAATTAGTTCTTTATAGTCAGTATTTTTGAGTTCCCGGTATTTTCAATTTCGTTTTAAATTCCAGATGCAAAATGTTAATTTGCGAAAAATTTTGTTTAAATTATTAAATTTCAACGATACACAAATGAGATTTTTCCCAAAGTGATGTAAGCTTACATTATGATTTTTTCAATTTGCGTGTAAACAATTTGCGTGTCATAACTTTCCTTTTCTTTTTACCTTTTTATACATTTACCTTACTATATTGTTCTAGTTGAAGCACCTTTTTTCTAAGGATGTAGTATAGTTATTATGGTTATAGTTCATTGAGGATCTTTATGGCTGTAATCTTTAAAAATGCCAAGATGAGGTAAGGTTTGCTTTATTGTAAGGTTTGCTTTATTGTAGTGATTCAAATGAAAGTCTGTCTGGTTTAACTTTAAAACTTACTAACGTTGAGGTCAATTACAACGATATTGGAGTTATTGGTAATGTGGTTATTGTTAGTACAAGGCATTGATGCTTCAATTATTATGTAACTTTGCTGAGGCCTTTAAAGTGCAAAGCTGAATTATTAACTTGCAAGTTACGTTTTATTACCATGGTTTAACTGAACATTACCATCTAACTTTTGCCATTCACTGTATACTTTTACCGTAGCGGCATGCGAACATTTAACAAAAGTAAGCCATTTTTGAAATGCTTTTTCCCTTGACTCGAAAGCCAAGTTATCATGTTCTTTTAGACATCGGACAAATCGTTTCGTTTCGGCGTTATGCTAACGATTGCAATATTTTTTCATGTTGACGTGGAAAGTAGGTGGTGGTCACATTATTGTGACTGGACTGTGTAATATATATTCTCAAAGTATCATTTAAGATGAAATTAGTAATCTTATTTATACATTTTTAGAAAATAAATTAACTTCATAAATTATAAAAGTACCATTATCTCACTGTTAGAGGATGATAAGTGAGGGAATGAGAACATAAGGATTATTTGCTTCGAAAGTTTATTCCCGTAAATAAAATTAAAATAATAATAATTCTTTAACTAACCCATAAGAAGAAATAAAAATATTTCTTAGTATCCTTTTAGAAAATAAAATAAATTTACAAATTTAAATAAGGGTATGGCAAATATCATCTTAACACGTATCCAATTCACCTTTTCAGTTTCTTTTTACACACTGAAAAACTTCGTCCAATTAACCGAAATTTTATTTCCTATTTTATCGGAACAAATTCTTATAACAAGTAGTACGCAAAATAAAAAACGGACCACAATAAATAACTTTTGATCTAGATCTTCACGTTCTAGGACTCAATCATAAAGATTCTAGAAGATGACCTTATATGGGTTAATTGATTAGTGCAGGCGATATTTTAAGTTACGAAATCAGATTCAAAAACATGAACATGCCCTTTTTTGGTCGGATTCTGATTTCTGGCTCCCTAAATATAGGAGTAGCCGCAATCTGAGAAATACTGTCCCAATTGTTAGGTCAGGAGAGCGATTCAAAATTTTGACCCATTAATGTTAATTTTCCTTTTTGTGTATTTCACCATATCTCGATATTTTTTTAAGCAAATTAAAAAAAATTTGAACACAATTATAAAATTCGTTTTTCCAAAGATAATTTCATACAAAATATAACTTTCAGTAAATATTTATTATTTTTTATTACATTATTTAGGAATAGTCGAAAAAATATTGAACTGTAAGGTATATAATTTTCACATCATTCTAAGGAATGTAAGTTTACATGGCAAAGTACAAAATTTGAGCGAAATCGGTCGAATAGTTCCTCAGAAATTGAATTTCAAGAAAGTCAGATACTTCAAATTCGATTTCTCATGAACTATTCCACCGATTGTGCTCAAATTTTGTATTTTGTACTTATACACAAGGATATACGGTATTTTATTAACTTACTTGATGGAACATCTGTGCATAATTTATTAACTCCCCCATAGGCAGGAACTAAATAAAATATTGTCTTTGTGGGCTTGGTGAGGTTCGAAGATACAACTACATCCTCCATTGCTTCGATTCGGGCTACCTGGCCAGGAAGCCACTGGAGAGTGTGATTATTGTGAGCAGCCAGTTCTTCCACTCGATCTTCTCTGTAACTGATGAATTCCCACTGTGTCGATAACAGGCTTAGAATCAAGAAGGAAGTTGCGAGTGTTGTTAGGATTAAGGTGAGGGTAACAAATATGCATGTGAAGGTGACCATGTTTTGTTTAAGTTATGATGCATATTTGCCTGGATAGTCTTTCTTTGACTTTAAAGACTGATACAAACAATTTTATTTATGACAGTTGATGTACATTTGCCTAGATAGTCTACCTTCTTTAAATTTAAAGACTAATACAAACAATTTTATTTATGACAGTCGATGCTCATTTGAGTAGATAGTCTACCTTCCTTGAACTTAAAGACAAATACAAACAATTGTATTTACGCCTTGATTTGCTTAGATAGTTTTTTAGTGCATTTGCCTAGATAGTTTTTTTTTAATAAAAACTAATACAAATAATTGCATTTATCACATTTGATGCACATTTGCCTAGATAGTTTACCTTTAAAAATAAAGACTAATACAAATAATTTATTTATGAAATTTGAGTTGAAAAAGTTATATATTTATATAGGTACCTAGTTAACGAGGCACATTTGTTTTTGTTATTTTCACCATTTAAAGTTAAGACTACCTAAATGCTTCATTGCATTTTTTTATATTTCTACCTACAATAAAATAGCAGTGATTTTTAAACCTAGCTTTAATATTTTAATGAGATAAAAATACTACGAAAAAATTGCAAAAGCTATTATTTAGATCTCTATTATGTTCCGTATATTAGTTCGACAAAAATGTCTGATTTCCCCTCCTTACGGAAAATGGTAGTTAACATTTAATTATTTTATAAATAAAAACCATCAGCATTCTTTGATTTACGATTGACAAGCTTAATAAATTATAATAATGCTTGTTTTACCTAAATTTCAAAGAATTTTATTCATTTTGCATTTCTTTAATACAATTGAAAAAAACAGACTTAAACAGTAATCAAAATTTGTGATTAAAATTAGAGACTAACTGCGTCATTTTGAATATCATTTTGATCTGCACTCATACTTTTTGTCGTAAATAAGTTCTCATTGATCAGTTTTTAAAGATTGCTGATTAACTTATTGGTTGTTTCCAAATAGGTTTATCGAAGTAACCTATAAAGAAAAAAATGTACATTAGACATTTTATAATGAATAACATGAATTCAATAATAGCTATTATTATTCGGATAGTTCAATAATAATAATTCAAAATATAAACAAGTTAATAATTAAGAAAATCATCTGTGTTTCTATATTCCAGAGCCCACCAAAAAGTCAAAGGTACCTATTGCAAGAACATAAAGTTAAGCTTGATGCGAATTTTTTTATTCCTTTTGCAAAAGAAGTCATATTTTCCAGAAATATCCATATATGTTCAGAAATATGTTGAGAATTTTCTTTTAAAAAAATCTTATTTTGTCCAAAACACGCTAAAGGAAATGCGTGTGTCCGGAATACACATATAACGCTAACATAAAAATGGACGTTTTGAGAATTTTTAATAAGCTATATTTTCTAAAAATATCCATATATGACTAGAAATATTCATGGAAAATTATTTAAAAATTTTGTTAAGTCCTAAACGGGTAAAGTCTAGATCACATACAAAGTTATAGAAGTAGATTTTTATTTTATTTATTTATTTATTTCTTTTTCGCGACAGCACTGGATTTAATTCAATTTTTTTGTAAAAAGGAGGCACCATGTTTTAGAAAAATACCCAAAAACTTTTATAAATATGTTTAGAGGAAAAGAATTTTAAAATTTTATTTGCCTGAAACGTTATCAAGTCCAAAAGCTTTTATAGCACTTCCGTGAAGGTGAACAATTTAGGAATTATTAAAATTTTTTTACAGCGCGGCATTCATTTTAAATTGATTTCATTTCGGAATTTGGGAGTCATATTTTCCGTCAATATAAAACGTCGAAGATACATGTCTAATTATGTTTTTACAGGAAAAAGCTCCAAAAATTTTATTCAGGTTAAAGTACGCGAAGAGCAATGCATGTAACAACCTAGGTTAAAGATTGAACAAATTACAATTTTCTCAGCGGAAATTTAATGTATAACTGTTTATGTAACAAAATTTGGAAGTCCTGTTTTCAGCACATACTCACATGTGTCTAGAAATATTGATAGAATTTTTGTTTAATCCTATTTTGTGCTAAGCACACGAATTGCAATGCATAGTGCTAACATTAGAGAGCACTTTGTGAACATTTTTCTAATTTTTGTGTCGCGTCATTTGTTTAAAGCTCTTTTATACCAATATATTAGGGCCATATATTTTGTAAAATTTGATATTTCTGACGAAAAACATTTATAATTTTTTTAAAGAAAATCTTATTCAGTCGGATACTAATGATTCCAAAATCTTTTCAGCACTAAATTCAAATAACACACATATTAACTATTTTTTTGCACCGCTGTTATCAATTGAAACTATTTTCAGATTAAAATATGGTTGTCATATTTTCTAAAGTTCCCATAAACGCCAAAAAATAATTTTAAAAAATTTTTTCGTTTTAAATATGTCATTTATTTTGAAACATGTATAGCTCTAACATAAAGGTGCGCAATTTACAAATTTTTATAATTTTTTGCAACTTGAGGCTCATTTGAAACTCATTACCTTTTAAGCTATGCGTAGGTTATTTCGGAAAATTCTTGTACATTTTAAAAAATATCTATAAAAAACTTATAGCAAAATCTTATTTGGCCCTTTAGGCAACTTTGAATTTCTTACAATGTTTGGCACCTCGTTTCAATTTTTAAAACTAGTTTCATATTGAAGTATGGGCATCAGATTATTTTGCTATGTATTTTATCAGCCGGTATTTTTGAAATTATATAATACCGATCAAATATTATGCATATAATGTACATAGTATGTATTTAAAAATCGTAGTAGTAAAAGTGCCGATGAAAATTAATTGTATTGCTGAAATCATTATACAATAAGTATCATCTTACAATACAATAATTACAATACAATATTAATACAATAATTGTTAAATTATTTTTTTAAAATATGACATTATAATGCTTTCGTCATNGTACATAGTATGTATTTAGAAATCGTAATAGTAAAAGTGCCGTTGAAAATTAATTGTATTGCTGAAATCATTATACAATAAGTATCATCTTACAATACAATAATTACAATACAATATTAATACAATAATTGTTAAATTATTTTTTTAAAATATGACATTATAATGCTTTCGTCATAAAATCGAAGAGTATTTTATTTCCAAATGCCTAAAATTTGAAAGTATTATGAAACTTTGTTGCTTTTGAATCATTTACTCCTTATGCCCATTTGATTCAGCGCAATCATTCATTAAATGCAATCAGTCGAACATATTCTTCGTAGATGATGCCAAACCGATCAGTTTGGCGTTGCTGGAATCGGAAATGACATTGACAGGCAGTCACGTAATTCCCTAATGAGATCGCATTTTACCTATCAGTTACTTTGCTGTTCTTTAATGCCAAAGGTGGGGACAAAATTTTTGTGAAAATAACTCGCCAAATATTCTTTCTAATAAAATAAAAAAACAGTTATATGGCTCTGAAATATACTCTTGTGTCGTTTTGAATGTCTGAATGACAGGAAGTTTGATTATTACGGAGTAAATGAGAGAAGTTAAGAAAGACGTGAGATGTGAACAAGCAGTCCAGGAAATGGACCTTTTTCCTTTTCGACGAAGGTTTTAATAACTGTAAATTACTAAAGGGTTTCCCCATCGCTCGTAATGAAAAATTCACTGCAATACCCATTTTTATCAAATCTGAAAGTTTCTTTAAAACGCCCCAAGATCTAAACTTGCAAGAGTCGAAAATTAAATTTACTTATATATTGTCTTGATTTTCGATTGTACGATTTTAAATCTTCAAATACTTGAAGTTCTACGTAGTATAGCGGCTAGGTAGTATAATGAGAAAAATACCATTATTAGTTTTAAGCTTTCATGTTTTAATAAGATTGCTCCTTTGAGTAAGTTCGACACAACTATTACTTTTCATTTTAATGATAATATTGTAAAAATATGTGGAATAGCAAAGTAAGTTGTATTTCATCATATATATATATATACATAAGTTCAAAATGTAGAGAAAACAAGGGGAAAATTACAGAACAATGAAAAAAGGGAAGAAAAAAAATAATAATAAAAATAAAAATAACAAAAAAATGAGAGAAAAAGAACAAAATATTTTAAAAAATCCGGATTTTCCAGATTTTTCAAGCAATTTTCGCCATATCGATTTAAAAATCCGGATTTTCCGGTTTTTTTTCAATCTTTTGTTCTTTTCTCCGGTTTTTTATTATTATTTTTCTCTTTTTCCCCTTTTTTTCATTGTTCTGTAATTTTTCCCTTGTTTTCTCTACATTTTGAACTTATTTTATGAGTTCTATTTACTTGCAACTCTTGCATAGTAAATAAAACTTATTGTTTTTCTTCATTTTCT